CTCCCCTCCCCTTCAATACTTTATTGATTTCAGAGAGAGAGGGAGAGGGAGAAAGACACAGAAACATCAATGATGAGAGAGTCATTGATGAGAGGGGCCTCCTGCAAGCCCCTGACTGGGGGTTGAGCCTGCAACCTGGGCATGTGCCCTGACCGGGAACTGAATCGTGATCTCCTGGATCACAGGTTGATGCTCAATCTCTGAGCCGCGCTGGCCGGACCATCCATTTTTCTTTCTATCCATCCATGCACCCATCTCTTTACCCATCTGTTCATCCATCCATCCATCCATCCATCCATCCATCCATTTATTTAGGGAGGGTGAAGTGCAGTGAAGATTCTTACCAAATGTTGACCATTGTGCCTCTAAACATCTGTGAGATCCTAATTATTAAAGAATTCTTTCAGTATTTTTACACTAAAATGTAAGAATTTCTGATTTTTTTAACAGAAATACCATATACAAAATAGATTTCCTCTTAACTCTTAGTAAATTTGAAAATCAGTCAACTTTCTGATTTCCTACTGAATTTAGATTCTTCCAAGAATATAAAAATATGAAATGAGGTCTGTCTCTCAAGTAGCTTATACATTTAATTGGGAAGAGAAGGGCTTCATATCTGGTAAATTAAATAGATGTAAATGAAATAAACAATAACAGGAAATATTTCAATTAAAATTTTGCCGCTCCGTAAGGCAGTTTATATGTAGGATGAAACATCCCATGTATATGTGTGGGTTTTTGATACACATATGTATGTATATATGTGGGTGCTTATATATCCACATAAATAAGTGGATGTTTCAACATAGATCACTGGTTCCCAATCATTTAGAGGATCTCGTTTGTGGATTTTAAGTCTTTTCTACCTAATCATTCTCATCTCTTGCTGTTTATTGTAAGCCGTATATCACACACTGATTGTGATAGTAAGCTCTTGGGGTTAGTGATTATGACAGGAGCTGAAAAATGTGAAGATAAAATCCCTTTATTCACTGAGTATAAATAAAATTTACTGTTTGGTTACTGCCTCTACATCCTGAGTCTTATAAAGTTTAAGTCTGCCTCTTAAATTGAGGATTGGCTTGAAGTCTTTACAAAATAATTTAAAAAACCTAACTCTGATGCTAATAAGAGAAATCAAGGTTGTCTATTATTTGAAGTTTTTCCTTTATCTGATTAGTTAATCCTTAATCAGTTAATTCTTAGACTAGTTTTAGTTTGTTTTTATTTCCAAATCAGTTTGCTGAATGATGTTTGCTTGGGTATCCTGTTAGCAGCTGCTCATGTCATAGAACCAGGTCATTAGTGAACATGATGTCAGTTTTGAATGCTTGTGATATTTCATGATGTTCAGAAAAGTGGGTGTTAAGCATTGATTATTTTCAGGGAGCTAGGTGTGCGATACTTCAGCTTATACCTTTCATACCTGGAGAAGCTAGCAAATACCATTGCTTTCTAGCTCTTTAATATGATCTATATGGAACTTGATTTTATGTCGTCGTCATATTGTCTGATTGCCTCCCAAAGAGTATGTTAACTTCCTACATTTAGTTTTGTCTTTTCTCTTTATTGGTCAGTTTAAGCAGCAGAATTCTGTGGTAATCTTAAGTTCTATTTTATTGTGTATTGCTCCCCTCAACATCAAGTGCTTCTTTCAGGAAATTTTCTTTTCATAGAAGAAAATACAGTGAAATTCCTCTGGTGTTCAAACTGTCACCTTCAACCCATTACTCAGATCTTACCTCATTTCTGGAACTTCCCAGCATCTCTGCTTGAACATTCTACATTCTTCTAGCTCTTTAGAATATACCTTAAAATCCACCTCCCCCGCAAACCCATCTGTAACCATCTTGTTTAAGTGAAAAATCACGAGACACATCTATGTGTAAATATATCATTAGGTATTATTTTTTTATTCTGCATTTTGTGCATGTTCTTCTAAATAGTTTATTAATTTCATATGGATTTGCCCACTAGATTGAAAGCTACCTAATGGGAGGGACAACATCTAACCAACAGTCTATAAACGTCTTGGGGGTGTTGTATACCCTGTGGTTCATCACTATAAGTGTACCAGATTTGTTGACATCCACTTTGGTTCTACAATATTCTCTGTAATGGTAGCTGAGCATACAAAAACAAGTGATGATATGAGGTTTACATTTGCTATCGAAACTACTTTCTCTGTATTTCCTGTAGTAAAGTCATGTATTGTGTAGCTTTGTGATAAACTTTTTGATATTTTGAAGGAGATGGAAGAGTAATAAGCCCTTCACCTCGTAATAAATCATCATGCATCTCATCCACAACAAACGTGACAGAACTGTGTGGGCTGGACATGAAAACTACCATGAGCTCCTTATCAGCATTTGGAGATTCTTCCATTCAGATACCTTCCAAGTCCAGAATCCGGCAGGGCTGTCATAGTGCTGGCCCAAATGTATCTGGTAATGAGGGACTATCATCTCAGTTATAAGAGAGTTAAAATTTAGTAGTAGGTGTCAGCATTAAAAGGGATAAAGACAGCACTAGATTATTTGGCATACACAGAACACAAAGTTTATGTTCAAGGAGGAAAGAAACTCAAATTTAGTAATTTATTTCAAACATGGAGAACTATGGAAACTATACTTTCTAGAAAAGGTATTTGTAGGTGCTGAAGTTCTACAAATATCAGGTGACTTTAGTTTTAAGATTTTAAAGGTTTTTCTTAATCAAATAATTTGTATATCATTTTCAATAGGTGATCATATTAATTTGGTGAGTTCATCAATGCCATCATTTCCCATCCTTCAACGTTCTTCTGAAGAGAAAATTCTTTACTCAGACAGGCTGACCCTAGAAAGGTGAGGACAATTTATTATTCTTTATTTTTTTGACTAGATAATACATAGACATGGTACAAGATTTAAAAGGTACAAATCTCTCTATCTCATCTTTTTTTCCAGCAACCTACTTCTTCTACCTAAGAATAGCCACTATTACCAATTTTTTATTTATCCTTCAAGGGGTATGAGGAGGAATTTTATATCTATGTAATGTAAAATAAAAGAATACTAAGTAATTCTAGAATATGACCTATGAAAACGGATTTTAGGATTGAAACAGCTATGTAATATAGTCGTCACACAGGCTACTGGGCCCTGTCCAGTTGAATTCCCTGTTATCTCACTGGCCTCACCTCCTAATCTCTTCTTCGCTCATTCTGCCTCCTGGAACACAGCAAGCATGCTCACATTTCAGGGTTTTTGCACTTACTGTTCCCACTTCCTTTCCTCCTTTGGGTTTTCACTTGGATGTCATCATCTCAGGGATGACCTTCCCTGGCCACCCTCACCAAAGTTGCAACCCCTTTCACCCTGATAGTCCCCGGCTCCCTTCTCTGCTTCATTTTTCTTTTTAGCAATTATCACCCTCTAGCATATTAAATATTTTACTAATCAAGTTTATTATTTGTCTCCTTCTACTAAAATATAAGCTCCACAATCACTGGGAGTTTTTTTCAGTTCTGTATCCCCAGCACCTAGAACAGAGCCTAGGGCATAAAAATTTTTGAACGAATGATTATGTTTAGAACTTGATCTCCATCATTAAATCCAGGCAGGTATCTGCAATAGAATGGTGTATGAAGGATCTCAACCCTACCTTAGTGCTATAGCCAGTAGGGAAACCATCTCTGCTGTGCATTCCTTTATTTTAGAGCATATATAACAGCAAATTGTTAAGCAAATTTCTTAGTTTGGCAGTGCACACCTGACAGCAAATGTTGCGGATCATTTGTATTTGTATTTGTATTTGGGAGAAAGCTCTCTGAAGGGTGTGACATACTGTTTTTTTAGGCAAAGTAACACTTGAGGGCAGTTACTCTCATGACATTTTTGCAGTACTGTTGGTTTTTGAAATTCTCTTGCTATCTAACATTTATAACTTTCACAATATATTTTTTTAAGTTTTTCTTTTTAATCCTCATCTGAGGATATGTTTTTATTGATTTTTTTTTTTTTTTTTTTTTTTGAGAGACAGGAAAGGAGAGGGAGAAGAGAGAGAAACATCAATGTGAGAGGGAAACATTGATCAGTTGCCAACAGGGGATTGAATCTGAAACCTGGGTATGTGCTCTGACCAGGAATTGAACCCGAGAACTTTTGGTGCATGAGATGACACCCAACCAACTGAGCCACACTAACATGGTACTTTCACAGTATTTTTATGTTTTGTTGGATTTTGTGGTAATTTTTATCTCAGTCTTTAAAAGTCCAGCCAAGAATAATATACCTCAGCCCTTTAGTTTCATGTTACTTGAGACTAACAGGAGCCAGTATTTATAAGATTGTGGCATAAGTTAGGCACTTCTGTTGTACCTTGGGTGACTCAGGCAGTTGTGAAGATGGTCTTTGGCACATGATGCAAACTTTGATCAAGTGGAGACTCGTTTAACCAGGAAAGTCAGGAACAAGGGAATTGACTCAGCTTCAGAGACTGGTTATGAACTGGCAGGATCACAAAGATGTCAGAGGCTTACACACAATTTTATCAGTACCAGGATGTGCAGTCAGGAAAGGTGGGCTGGCAGAAAGGCATTCAGGGATCATTATTTGAGAGCCAGTGGGTAACAGACCTGATTTTCAAAGGAAGATCTGCCATGCTGTGCTCTTTCTTAGCCAGGAAACTGAGGGGTCAAGAGTAGAATCCAGGCCATGGTTGGGGTGGCTCAATAGGTTAGAACATCCTCCCATACACCAAAAGGTTGCAGGTTTGATTCTGGTCAGGGCACATACCCAGGTTGCAGGTTTGATCCTCAGTAGGGGCACATCTGGGAGGCAACTGAACGATGTTTCTCTCTCATACTGGTGTCTCTCTCTCTCTTTCCCCCTTCTCTTCCCTTTTCCCTCTCTTCCTTCTCTTTTAGAATCATTAAAAACATATCCTTGGATGAAGATTAAAGTTTTTTTTAAAAAAGAGTAGAATCCAGCCCTGAGAAGAAATACTTGGAAGAACTAGGCTCTGACTGTTCTGGAAATTAGTGTAGGCCTGGGGTACCAGGAAGGCAGCTCACCAGCACCTAGTAGGAAATCAGAGGCAAAAGCATTAATGGGGTGGGAGCTGCAGCAACTCAGGGATTTTGTAGGCATAACAAACTCTCCTGGAGAGCACTGGGTAATAACCTAGTATGTGTATGTTTGCTTGTTTTGTTGGATGACAGGGACTTACTTATAGGGTTAAGGGGTGAGCCTTGGAGTTGGGACTTAGTCACTGGATTTGGAACCTGAGAAAGTGACTTTATTTCAAATTGCTGTGGCTTACATAGGAGGTGGGTCAGAGGTTTTTTTTCCCCATCTTAGTGATAATGACCCAAGAATTGGATGAACTAGAAGCTGGGTTATCAGTAAGTTTAACTGTGAGAAATAGGAAGGCTGAAGCAGGAAAAATGAGACAATCTAAGTTTTTTGCTAAACTGATGCACAAAGATATAAATTTTAAACTAGAATACTTATAATTTATAGAACAAAAGTACCAAATGAGGTAGTGTAATTAAGTACATGAAATGAATTCTTTTATATATATTTATTGATTGATTTCAGGGAGAGGAAGTGAGAGGGGGAGAGAGATAGAAACATCACTGATGAGAGAGTCATTGATCAGCTGCCTCCTGCATGCCCCTGACTGAGGATTGAGCCCAAAACGGGGCATGTGCCCTGACCGGGAATTGAACTGTGATCTCCTAGATCCTAGGTCGATGCTCAACCACTGAGCGACACCCGGCCAGACATGAAATGAATTCTAAATACTAAGCACACATTAAAATAATTAAACTATTATTAAACTATTATCTAATATTTTTTTTCTTCTTTTGAAAACCAATTTCTTCAAGGTCTATATTTTTTTAATCCTCACCTGAGGATTACTGATTTTAGAGAGAGGGAAAGGGGAAAAGAGAGGGATGGGGGGAAGAATATCAATCGGTTGCCTCTTGCACATGCCCTCACCAAGGATCAAACCCACAACCTGGGTGTATCCTAATCTGGAATCGAACCCACCACCATTCGGTGTACAGGATGACTATGATGCTCCAACCAACTGAGCCACACCAGCCGGGGCTTCAGGGTCTGTATTTTAAACATCATATCTTTGTCAACCATTAACATTCAGTTATTACCTTGTGCTAATCATTTTTTTCTCTTTATGGGGAGGATCTGATCAATCACACAGTTTCACTTATGCTTGTAGACTCTGATATACTTGTTTTAAAGGTTTCATTAACTTGATTTTTACTGAAAGGAAATATTTCTTTTTTTAAAATTTATCTTTATTTTTGAAAGTATTACAGATGTCCCCTTTTCCCCCCACCATGGACCCCCTCCACCTGAAAGGAAATATTTCTAATTAATCTCCCTATTAAAGTTGTTCACACTTTGATCAACAGAACTACATTTTCCTTGAAGACTCTCTTGTGAATCTCAGACCACTTCTATCTGGCCATTTTATTACCCTAGTGGATTCTTAAAGGGCCTTGCACGTATTAACTTCACATGTAATACATCATAACTTTTTGCACAATGGAGGTTTACTGTTTTAAATATAGCTAAAGGCATATGTTGTTAAGGTTTCATCGTACCTGATAGCATTCTAAATATTCTGTAAAGTTCAAAGTTATTGTTGACCATGTAAACATATACTTAAAACCTAAGTGTACAGAAGTGTTCAATAAAGGATGAAATTGTTTCTATCCAAGTGAACTGTAGGTGGCTGAATTTCTTGCTCCTCCTAAGATATCATCCATCTCAAGAGTTTACAGTTCTATAAGAGAACCTTTTTTATGTCTTTTGTTTGTTTGTTCTTTCTGATGACTTAGTTACCTGGGCAGTCTTTGTATTAGTAGATTGATGGCCAAGGCATTTCTCTGGTTATGTGACATGGCTCTTTGAATAATCTAAACTTCTGTTGCATAAGGCAGTTACATTGAGTGTTTTCTGATGTTAAGTCAATTTTATGTAAAATAATTTATATTGGAGTTTTTTAAAATATAATGAGAACTTAGACTTCATTTTAATAATTACCCTTGTCAAAGTATATTGGCTTTTATATGAACAAATTACAATTAGATCTAGGATGCTTAGTTTATGGAGGCAAGAAGTTCTATTTATCTTTTTCTCATAACATGGGAGCCCAAAGATGCTAATAATATATGTGAGAGGAGGCAGGCTGCCAAATCAGAATCTTATTAACTTTTTAAAATGTCTTTTAGGCAAAAGCTGACTGTATGTCCTGTTATCGATGGGGAAGAACACCTTCGTTTATTGAACTTCCAACACAATTTTATAACTCGAATCCAAAATATTTCTAATCTACGGAGGCTAATATTCTTGGATTTATATGATAACCATATAGAAGAAATTAGTGGGCTTTCTACTCTGAGATCCCTCCGTGTCCTTCTGTTGGGGAAAAACAGGTAACCTTTGTAGAGCAGTTTTTGTTTATTATATTTAGGGCTAATGTTGAGGCCTTTGGTGGTTAGATGGCACCTCAGAACTGAAAAGCAGTTAAAGCCTAATAGACTAAGTTTTTGAAAAATTATTTGAATGGATTAAGATTCAGTCATAATTTGTTAAACCAAATAACATTTATTGCATATTTTGTTATTTACATTGCTTTTCAGTGCCATTGCCTGTATGGAAATAAATAGCAGATTTGGCCTTTATGTTTTCTTAGGCTATATATTAAGCATGTGTTCACTTTAGGCATATGTATTTCACTAGTCCTTCTTGCCAGTGCTTGAGTGAGGGTAGATATTTGATACTTAGTAATTGTCAAATTTCTGGTTGATTTTTGTTCAGGAGGAGTTTTCAGTATTTTTTGTTGTTGTTGTTCAAAATATTACAGATGTTCCCTTTTTTCCCCATTGACCTCTTCTCCCTCACACCCACTCCCCACCCCAGGCCTCCACCACACTATTGTCTGTGTCCATGTGTTATGCATATATGCATATAAATTCTTTGGTTAATCTCCCCTCCTACCCACCCACACCCACCTTCCCTCTGAGATTTGTCAGTCTGTTCCATGCTTCTGTGTCACTGAATCTATTTTGTTCATCAGTTTATTATGTTCTTTAGATTCCACATATAACTGAGATCATGTGATATTTGTCTTTCTCTGCCTGGTTTATTTCGCTTAGGAGAATTTTCTCCAGGTCCATCCATACTGTCCCAAAGGGAATGAGATCCTTCGTCTTTACAGCTGCATAGTGTTCCATGGTATAAATGTCCCACAGCTTTTTATTTTTTAAATATAACTTTATTGATTCCAGAGAGAGGAAGGGGAGGAGAGAGAGAGAGAAACATCAATGCTGAGAGAGTCATCATTGATCGGCTGCCTCCTGCATGCCCCAGACTGGGGTTCAAGCCTGCAACCTGGGTATGTGCCCTGACGGGGAATCAAACCGTGATCTCCTGGATCCTAGGTCTATGCTCAACCACTGAGCCATGCCCAGCCTGACGTCCCACAGCTTTTTTATGCACTCATCTACTAATGGGCACTTGGGCTGTTTCCAGATCTTAACTATTGTAAATTTTGCTGCCATGAACATAGCGGTGCATATATTCTTTCTGATTAGTGTTTCATGATTCTTAGGATATATTCCGAGAAATGAGATCACTGGGTCAAAAAGCAGTTCCATTTCTAATTTTTTGAGGAACCTCCCTACTGTTTTCCATAGTGGCTGCACCAGTCTGCATTCCTACCAGCAGTGTACCAGGATTCCCCTTTTTCCACATCCTTGCCAGCACCTGTCATTTGTTGATTTGTTGATGGCAGCCATTCTGACAGGTGTGAAGTGATACCTCATTGTGGTTTTAATTTGCATCTCTCTGATGATTAGNGTTTTAATTTGCATCTCTCTGGTGATTAGTGGCTTTGAGCATTTTTTTCATATGTCTCTTGGCCATCTTTATGTCCTCTTTGAAGAAATGTCTATTCAAGTCCTTTGCCCATTTTTAAATTGGATTGTTTGCCTTCCTCTTGTTGAATTGTATGAGTTCTTTGTACACTTTGGAAATTAGCCCCTTATCAGATGTATCCTTGGCAAATATGTCCTCCCATACCGTGGGTTTCCCTTTGTATTTTGAGACTGATTTCTTTTGCTGTGCAGAAGCTTTTTAGTTTGATGTAGTCCCATTTGTTTATTTTTTCTTTTGTTTCTCTTGCCCTAGGAGATGTATCAGTGAAAATTCCACTATGTGAGATGTCTGTGACTTTACTGCCTATGTTTTCTTCCAGGATTTTTATGGTTTCGTGACTTATACTTAAGCCTTTTATCCATTTATTTATTCTTGTGTATGGAGTAAGTTGGTGATCTAGTTTCATGTTTTTGCATGTATCTGTCCGATTTTCCCAATACCATTTATTGAAGAGACTGTCTTTACTCTATTGTATGTTCTTGTCTTCTTTGTCAAATATTAACTGACCATAATGGCATGGGTCCATTTCTGGGGTCTCTGCTTTGTTCCATTGATCTATATGCCTGTTGTTGTACCAATACCAGGCTGTTTTGATTACAGTGGCTTTGCAGTATAGTTTGATATCCATTAAAATGATCCCTCCAACTCTGTTCTTCTTTCTCAAGATGGCTGGGGCTATTTGGGGTCTTTTTTGGTTCCATATAAATTTTTGGAATATTTGTTCTAGCTCTGTGAAATATGCTGTTGGTATTTTAGTAGGAATTGCATTGAATCTATAGATTGCTTTGGCTAGTATGGACATTTTAATGATATTAATTCTTCCAGTCCATGAACATGGTATATGCTTCCACTTGTTTATATCTTCCTCTATTTCTTTTTTCAGTGTTCTATAGTTTTCTGAGTACAGGTCTTTTACATCCTTGGTTAAGTTTATTCCTAGATATCTTATTTTTTAGTTGCAATGGTAAACGGTGTTTCTTTTTTTAGTTTTCCTGTCTGAGAGTTCATTGTTGGTGTACAAAAATGCCATTGATTTTTGCATGTTAATTTTATATCCAGCTACCTTGATGAATTCCTTTATTAAATCTAGTAGTACTTTGGTCGAGTCTTTAGGGTTTTCTATGTTATCTGCAGATAATGACAGTTTTACTTCCTCCTTTCCAATTTGGATACCTTTTATCTTCCTGTCTGATGACTGTGGCAAGGACTTCCAGTATTACGTTAAATAAGAGTGGTGAAAGCAGACAACCCTGCCTTGTTCCTTTTTTTAAGGGAAATGGTTTTAGTTTTTGACCATTGAGTATCATGTTAGCTGTAGGTTTGTCGTGTATAACCTTTATTCTGTTGTGTGTTCCCTCTATTCCCACTTTGCTGAAAGTCTTTATCACAAATGGTTGCTGGATTTTGTCGAATGCTTTTTCTTCATCTATTGATTTGATCATATGATTTTTGTCCTTCATTTTGTTTATGTGGCGTATCACGTTTATTGATTTGCGAATATTATACTAGCCTTGCATCCCTGGAATAAATCCAACTTAATCATGGTGTATGATCTTTTTAATGTATTGCTATATCTGGTTTGCTAGTATCAGTATATATTTAAGATTACATCCTATGTGAACTTCTCCAGTTCTTTTTATAAGGCTCTGTTATGTTGTGCAGCTACACAATTCCTGAAAAATTTCCTTCAGATTTGCTCATGAATTTTCTCTCCATTCTGCTTTACTGAATAGCTTTTGCAATGCCTAGAAAGAGAAGCTTTTTGACAAAATCCAAAAATGATTTTTATATTATCAACTGATAAAGTTTAGATATGGCATTATACCCAAGCTTGGTTCCCTTCCAACGGTCTTCCCTTCCCCTCCCCCCATAGCACGGATCTTGCATTACCTCTTTATTCTTATTTGCCAGCAGTAATATAAGGTACTTTTTCCAAGATCATGTCCCAGAGTTCTAGGGTCTAATCTGTTCTCTGTGGTTTCTGTCCCTGTTTTTCAGTGACATTGTAACTCTCCTTTTCTAGTTTTAAACTTGGTATCTAGAGCTGCTCCTGGTTTCTAATGTTTTGAATCATCTTTCAGTCTACTCTCTTTTCCTGTGCCTCAAAGACACCAGTGTATTGGATCTTTTAAATCTTTTTAAAGGTCTCTTTGCTCCTCCAGCTCTCCAGGGCCTACTGGTCTTCTCTATATTCTTACCATTGTTAAGTAAAAGCAATCTAATGCAGTCTTTTTTTTGTCTCCCTTCTACTCCTCCATCCTTTTCTTTGTTCACTTGCTTTGTGTCATATTTTACTTTAATTTTCCCATAAAGAAAAAAGCTGTTATTCAAGTTCTTGAATAAAAAAGAAAGTGAGCAGAAGACAACTTTCCACATTCTCTGGCGTGTTCCTGAAGTATCAGTACAATGCAAAGCTGATCCCTAAAACATATACCTAGTGCTCTTCAGCTAGCTAACTTCATCAAGGGAAGGGGCCTGTGAGTCTTGAAGATGCAAATCTACCCTGAGGCAATACTTTCATGACAATTAGGCAAACCTGGCTGAGGAGTGCTGGAGAAGAGAGAAGCACGCCTGCCACCTTGTGCCCTCATGTTTGTCTTAGATGACTTGTTGCCCCTGCTGCTCAAGTCCAGAAATTTTCTCCCTCCCACATTGCGAAGCACTGCACTGTCTTGTAGTCCGAGGCAGTGGAACCATATATGAAAATCTAGGGCAACCAGATGCCTCTAACTTCAAGTAGCTCCAACAGATACTTCTGCTGAAAAACTAGAAAGACCCTGCTATGCTCTGTGTGAAGTTTACATTGCTACTAACGAACTCCCAACCCCTCTGTGTGATGTTGCTATTGAAGTTCTTGCCACCTAACTCTTCTGCTTTCTGTATCCTCTGCTTATCCATGTGAGATCTTCTGGTGCCCCTCATGGTCACGGGCTAATGAATAGAACTTCTGTGCATTTTCTTTTGATCACCAAGGACTGCATATAAAATTTTCCACCAGACCCTGGGATTCCATATTCCTTTCCTTTTGATTGCTTGAAGGTTCCCACTTTGGATTTGTCTCTGACACCTGAAAAGCCTAGCTTTCATATAGATCTGAAGAGGGGGCTTGTTCTGCCATCAGTAGCATAATGCGGCCTGAAGAACAGGCTGCCATATATCCCTAGAGTTCTGTAGCTACTGAAGCGATAGCCAAGCCTTGTCTTTTTCTAGTTTCAGTTTTGTTCAATGGGAGAACTTTTAAAAATGAACATAAAAAAATCTCTCAGGCCACATTGGTGTTAATGTAAAAATTTTCTTGGGAACTGACTAGGATTCTGCAAATTCCTCACATCAGCACCTAATCTGACCATGGCCTCTTAGGTCAACTGATACCTTCATCTGCCTCTGAATTCTTTAGAATTGTATGTTTTTATGTCATTTCAGGTCCTGGGGGTGTATGGCAAAGGCAATTCATGAGAACAAGACAGCAAGATGTTTAGTTGGTTTTGAGTTTAACTGACTGAGCAACTTGCCTATTTTTCTTCCTATTCATCTGGGCAATCAGAATCTGAAGTGAGAGTCCTGAAGCCACTGTGTGTCAAAGCTAAGAGAGTGCTTGAAATCACAACAGACTAGGACTGTTTTACTGCATAGCCTGACAGTATGTGAGGCCTTGGTGGAGTTCTTTGGGAAGACCTGTTGTACATGTAGGTTTCTGGGGTGGGAGTGCCTTACACGTGCCCAGAGTTTCTGGTCAATACAGAAACAGATTACACTGGTCCTCCAAATCAGAGAAATATGGGCTGGGACAATCTCCATCATTCCTCTTGTATAATTCCCAATATCTTAAAGATGTAATTCTCATACAAATAGATAGTAACACCAGGACAGTTTTTTTAATTAACACATTGGTGAGGAAACCAGTAGGATGACAGAGTTGGTTCAAAGGAGGATAAGAGAAACTGGCATCTAGTCAATGAAAAATGAAGGATGCTGGAATAGGATTGTTAAATTATAAAACAGGTTATCTTTCATATTAGACAAATAGATTGTATTTCTACTTGACAAAAATCGTACATCAGTTTTCTACAAGTTAGTATATATCTTTCCAGGATTTGGGTTCTGATCAGTACTGAATAGTCAGGTACTTCTCAGGTGGGCTTGTTGACAGTGCTCTGCTATGACATTGAAAGGACCAGTAGTCATCTCTTTGCCTTCTTTTCAAGGTGTGGTTATCAACATCAAGTTGCATCCTTTTTTCTATATTCACATATCACAGTTTAATAACATTGTTTTTATACTATGTGTTTTTCACTTAAATATTTATATTTTATTACTTATGTTTTCCCATGTCATTAAATGTTTTTTGAAAATACAGTTTTTAAGAGCTGCATAATCCATATGAGTATATATGTAATAATTTACTTATTTTCTTTTTAATATATCTTTATTGACTTTAGAGAGAGGAAAGGAGAGGGATAGAGAGATAGAAACATCAATGATGAGAGAGTCATTGATCGGCTGCCTCCTGCATGCCCCCGACTGGGGATCGAGCCCACAACCTGGGCATGTGCCCTGACCGGGAATCGAACCCTGATCTCCTGAATCCTAGGTTGACGCTCAACTGCTGAGCCATGCCCGGCTGGGCTACTTATTTTCTTTTTGCTAGACATTTCCGTTATGCACTGTTTTGCTATAATGCTGTGATGAATATTCTTGTCCATAAATCTTGGTCTGCATCTGATTATTTTCTTGGAATAGGCTTTAGTATTTTTTATTAGGTAGGTGAGTTTACCCTCATAAAGCTGGGAATTGAGATTTGATAAGTATGTCTATATTTTAGGGCATTATTTCTCAAAATGTGATCCCTGGACAGCACCATCAGCATTACCCAAGAACTTATTGGGAGTGCAAATATTTGACCCCTGTCGCAGAAACTCTGGAGGTGGGGCTCAGCAAGCTATATTTTAAGCTATATTTTATCAAGTCCTCCAGATGATTCTGATACACATAGAAGTTTGAGAACCACTGTTTTAGGGAATGTGAGCTTAGGAGTATAAAAGAATTGAATAAAAGACTTCTCTAATAGCTCTGAGGTCAGCTTGCTATTAGAAAGCATGGCTCTCTCCTAAGCCATATTATTATGGCACTGTAATTTTCTTGAACTGTTGTAGGTATTTCCAGAGCAAAATAGGCAGAGGAATAATTTTGTTCAAAGTTTTGTCTGTTTGCCCATCTGCTTTGGCTGCTATTATTATTGTTATTATTAATATTGGCTATTATTATTAGAGGGATTTAAGTGTCAGATAAGATAGTATTAAATTTCTGACTCTGGGTGAAGGCTAATAAAGGATTCCAAAGAGTTTGGAAGGATGTTAATGGTTTGGATGTGTTCAGGGCGTAGGCTGCTTCCCAGGAAAAGAGCACATTCTGCCAGTAAAATGGTGTGAGAGAGGAGACTGATGAGTTTGTGGTCATAAAGGAGTGGTGTATGGGGTGTGTGTGTGTGTGTGTGTGTGTGTGTGTGTGTGTGAGAGAGAGAGAGAGAGAGAGAGAGAGAGAGAAAGATAAGGGAGAGAGGGAGAACTACAACCACACTGTGATGGTACATGATGGGTATATAATAAATATATTTGAAAGTTAAGTTGTATTGAATTTGTTGTGGTGATATAATCTGGATTTGGCAATTATGGAAGATGGGTGAGGTCAAATGGAGATAGAAATTCATGAAGTTTAAGTTTGCATTATGTTTACATGGTGATCAGCATATATGAAGTTTCAAGGAGTGATCTAGGTTCTGGAAACATTCAGAAGGAGGAAGCAGTTCTTTGAGGCAGTAAACGATGGCAACGGAAATAAATAGTGAAAGGAAGATGATACTGTAGATGGACTGAGTGAATTTTCTTTTTACCCTTCCTGTGCCATTGCCCCTGTCTGTTAAATAATGGTAGTAGGAGAAAGTACACTCTTTCGGAGGGAGGGCAATAGCAGGCAAGTGGGATTGTTTTGTTTTGTTTCCTTTGTTAGAAGAGCCCAGTTAGAAGCAGCTGGACAGGTTAGGTAGCCCTAGGAGACAGGAATGAAGGAGACAGTTGGTAGGCCCAAAGCTTAGGGAATATAAGAGGGTATATTTTGGAGATAAAATTCTGTGCTTTTTAATTTATAGCAACATTTCAGCTTTTCAAAAATTGTTAAATAAAAAATTCCAGATAAATATTCACAAACTGAGTAAGTCCAGTAGAAAACATTTAGGTGATGTTCATTTTGTCTCTGTGGTAAATAATCCTGCTATGAATAATCTTGTATGTAAAACTCATCTGTTTAGTTATATGTTCACTCATTCATTAAACAGATATTTACTGTGTGCCCTGTTGGCACCAGCACTGTCATGAGTCCGGGCAATAGAGAACATGTCATCGTTTCTGACCTCTTGAAGTTCACATTTTGGTTAGAAGAAGGAGAACGTAAAAAAGTAAACACATGAATAATATAATTTTAGGCAAGGATAAGCGCATTGACGCCAGTTAAAGCAGGAGAAGGAAAGAGTAATGGGGACAGGAAGAGAGCTATTTTTGATAGGTCATCTGGACAGGCCATTCTGAGAAGATATTGGGGTTGAGATCTGGATTATGTGAGCCATGTGAAGTCCTGGGGAAAGAACATTAACAAAGAAGTAAGAGCAAGGGTAAACAGCCCCAGCAGAAATGGAGTTGTGAGGATAGAGACTGCGAGAGAGCCCCAGATACTGGAGCAGAAGCAGCGAGTGAGCCTGAGCGTGGTGGGAGACGAGGCTGGAGGGAGAGTCAGCAGCAGATAGACGGCAGGGCCTTGAGGGCTGAGGTAAGGAGTTTGGACCGTATTCTGAGGTGAAGGGAGCTGCTGTGAGTCAGTGCCTTGCCTAAGGTTCTTAGAAGAATTGCTCTTTTCTAAAGATATGACTTTTAAGCTGGGGGACGTTTCTTCAAGTAGGACTGCATATTTAACAATACAATTAAATTGATGGGAGGTATGTTTTTATTTAATATATATAATTATATATAATCTGTATATTTATATAAATAGATATAGCTCTTTCTACATCTATATGTAATTTATAGGGAATAAATTAAAATGAGTTATGCCTTAGCATATTTTGATTTATAATAGATGTGATACTTCCACATTTCTACTCTACTTATTCTGATTTTCAGAATCAAGAAAATCTCAAATCTGGAGAATCTAAAAAGTTTGGATGTCTTGGACCTTCATGGAAATCAGGTATTGTAAAGGCCTTTTATTTTTTCCCTCTTTGAAAAAAATTCCAGGAAATTTGGCATTGTAAAAGTTTTAAGAATTATACTTATGCTGAATTTTTCAAGAGTTAGTTTACTGATTCACTGAAATGTTAAGCTTATTTATATAAGATTTAGTAATTCCTTGCAATAAATGATATATAAAGCATTCAAAATCCTTATAGTTAGGACAATTTTGTTTCTTATTTAGTCTTTTATTAGCTTATTTTTAAAATATACATTATCCAACACCAACCCAAGAACTAGACTATTACTAGTGATTTTCTTTTACTTAGGTGTTCTTCCTTTATTTCTAGATAATCACTATTTTGGATTTCACATTTCTCGTTCCTTTTTGAGTTATTTTTAGTTGGTTTTATTACATATATGTATGCCTAAATAATATATCATTTAGTAGTGCTGTCTTTTAATTTAAAAAAGGTATCATAGTGTTATCATCTAGTTTTCTCTTTTCAGATACATCTTTTTGGAATTCATCTTTTTTATTAAGTAGTTGCAGCTTATTCATTTTCACTGTTGCATTTTCCATGGTCATGGTTAGACGAAAACTTTTTTCTCTAGTTTATTATTGATAGATATTTGGGTTGTTTCCTTCTCTCTCTCTCTCTCTCTCTCTCTCGTTTCTTTTTGGGAATAGTACTTCTAAGAATGTTCTTGTACATGCCTCTGCCATATTCCATATGTACTCTACAGTATATATCTAAAGGTGACATTGATGGGTTAGGTTATTTAAGTGTCTAACTTTAAAAGATAATACTAGATTGTTTTCCGAAGTGGTTGTATCAGTTTATACTCCCACCAGTACTACATAATAGATCCTGTTACTTCACATCCTTTTCAGTATTTAAAATTGTCAGACTTCTTAATTTTTGCCAATGAAATGTTTATAGTGCCTCCTTGTGGTTTTAATTTACATTTTCCTGATTACTACATAATCTGGGCTCATTACTCAGTTCAGTCAATCTGTCCACCCCCATATCTGTCCATCCTAATTTCTCTGTCTGATTGGTTATATTCCCCCTCCTTGTTCTTTTCTCTCAGAACATCTTGGCTGTTTGTTTGTTTTTTAACCCTTTGCTCTTCCATTTACATTTTAATTTTTGAAATGTGAGCATTTATTTAGGAATAGCTACATGAGCAGAAGATGAAGCCTCTCCTGAGGTGGTAAATGGACATTCTGGGATGATCCAGGAGTCCTTGTCTGTTGATGAACAAGATCTGCCACTGCCAGTTGCAGTCAGTCAGGTGCAGACCTCAGTAGATCTCTCTAGGCGCTCTAAGCTCTAAGCGCCTAGAGAGATCTAATGATCTCTAGTCCCAGTCATTTTGATGAAAAGCTAATATAATTAATAAAAACCTTGATAGATCTAGATAGGCCACATCTGCTAGGTTCTAATCTTGTGCCAGCCCCATCTGTGTGTCTGTCTGTGTGTACACCTTATGGGAGGAGTGTTGGTAGCCTGTCCTGCAGGCTGGTTAATGTCTCTAATAGAGGGGAAGTTGCCCAGTTAGATGGTGGTTGAAGGGACAGAGGAATTAAAGAGTTTTGTCAGTAGGAGAAAAACATTTGCAAAAGCATTGAGACTAAAAACAACATGGTAAGATTTTTTTACTGCTAGAGAATTTAGCAGGTGTTGAGGAACAGTGAGATGAGGTAAGAGAGGTAGGTAGAGGCCAGATTGTGGAGAACTTTGTGTGTCATACTAAGGAGTTGCTATTTTTTCTTGTAGTCCACTATTCTAAAAACTATCCATTACTATAAGTGAAACATTTTATCATAGGAATATTTTATTGTTTATTTAAAAATGTGTATATGAGAAATAAATATGTGTTTTTCACATTATATACTTTTAGAATTCATGGGTATTACCCAAGGTCTATAAGAGCACCTGATAAATGAATAACATATCACTTGATCTGTATATTATGTCTAGGAATTATTTACCAACCATTAGATGGATGAAAAGTGCTGTATTCCTTGTTAGATGGCCTGTGTTATGTGTCTTACAATTTCAGCATGTTTGTGATATTTTGTGTTTTAAGATTAAACATTCAGCCATAAGAAAGGATGAAATACTGTCATTTGCAGTAACATGGATGGACCTTGAGAATATTATGCTAAGTGAAATAAGTCAGTCAGGAAAAGCTAAGAACCATGTGATTTCACTCATGTGGGATATAAAACTGAAACTCGTGGATACAAATTGCAGTGCGGTGGTTGCCAGAGGGAAGGGGGAAGGGGGTGAAAGAGGTCTTAATATATGGTGATGGGAGAAGATATGACTTTGGGTGGTGGGCACACAGAGCAATATACAGATCTTGTAATATAGAAACCCACACCTCAAACCTGTAAGTTCATATTAACCATTGTCACTCCAATGAATTTAATAAAATATCAAACTAAAAAAAAAAGATTAAACATTCATACCACACAAATTATTTCCCAAGGATCTATAACATGAAGAAGTAAGTTATGGAAGCGTGGAACAACAGACGGAGGAATCTCAGAGGAATGGGGGGAGGGATGGTGGGAAGAGATAAACCAAAGAACGTGTATGTATATATGCGTAACGAATAGACACAGACAATAGTGTGATGGGCCTGTGTGTGGCGGGGGGGGAACAGTGTGGAGGGTGTCAGTGGGTGAAGAAAAGGGGACATCTGTAATACTTTCAACAATAAAGATAAGTTTTAAAGCTATATATAATCCCACTGAAGGAAAGAAAAAAAAAAGTATGTTTTAAATGAAAATCTGAGTTTTGTTTCAAAATATTGAAATCCAATTACCAAAAATTTGGAGTATTTCAAAGCAAAGACAGTCTTGGTGACCTTAGGTTTTTAAAAAATCAGGAGATAAACTATTAAAGATGAAACAATGTCCAACTCTAAAAAAAATAGCATCAGGTAGTTAAAAAAAAACTAAAAGAAAATTACGTGCATAATTTTTGTCTTTTGAATTTATGTCTGTTGGAAATAAAAATGACACTTGGTGTACACTGTAAAAATGTATTTGGTTTATGGATGTGAAAACATTCTGAGGAATGATAGTAGTGTTCAAGAAATAGACTGGGGAGTGGAACGAGATGGAGGGAGGTGAGGCTGGAGACAGAACAGTTGAGTCTAATACAGTAATCTTGGTGGGAAGTGATAATGGCTTGAACTGAAGTAATAGCAATAGGGACATAATAACTATTAAAAAAATAGAAACATGCAGATTTAGCCATTGATTATATGTGAATAGTGAAGAGTTCGTGGGGATGTGGGAGGCTGACTCTCCATTTCTGAGCTAAATTTTTCCGGTCTACTAGAAGTTGTTTTCTTGGTAGATACCTGCTTTATCATGGACACAAATGTGCTTCAAGAAAAATCTGTTCTTTCAGTGACATCTTTTCCTCCGGGGAGAGCTTGCCCTTTCTATGATTTCTTGCCTGAAAGCAGACATTTACCCTTTCAGTATTGCTGAGTAGGAAGGTTGTTTTTATCCAGACAGAGCAGTCTGGGTTACTCATAGAAAAAAGTTAAGAAGGGAGTATCCAGCTTTCCTAGTTGTATTAAGAAGCTCTGCAGTCTACCTTGGGACCCTTTCTCTGATCAGCGCGACCCATGATTGGGCTTTCTAACATTCCCATCATCTCTTCTTCTTGCTGTGAAGTTTATTCACTAATCAGGAACTATGCTCTCATCCTGTATGCTTGTGACTTTATGCATGGCTCCAACGAGTAGCAGACAATTTTCTAAAAGAAACACCCTAAGATTATTAGCAGAAGGGAGAAGACACCCTATGCAGGTCATACAACAATTGTGCCACTTTATTCTATATATTTAGGTCTCTCTTGAGCTCAAGAAAGTTTTATTTTATATATTTAAATATATATCCACTTATATTTGTTACATCTATATTGTCTATCTTCCATATCCTTATACTATCTTTGATTTTTCCTCTCTTTTTCCTTCATGTTTTAGGAGAATTTCTCAAGCTTATGCTTGACATGAATTGATTTTCTACAGTGTCTATTTTGCTTTTTTCTGATTCCATTCATTTGTAATTCTGTTACCTATTTAGTTTTGAAATAGTTTTGTCTAAGGTTTATTATTCAGTTCTGATATCTGCAAATACTGATAACCTTATTTCTTCTTTTACAATTTTTATTTAATTTATTTTCATTTTACATTAGTTCAACCAAAAATCTTAGGACAAATTTTAAAGCATGCTCAGATGTTATCTTTATATATTACTGAATTTGCAGTAAGCGTATTTAGGTTTCTCCTCTCAAGCCTATATAGAATCTAGATTGTATTTCTTGAATGTAAGAGAAATAACAACATATAAATTGGATTATAAATCTAAAAAGGTTTTTTAGCCAACATCTGCTTTGAAGTGTTATCTAAATAGTTTCAAATAATACTGTAATGGCAGTATAGATGAGAAAATCTCTAGTCATTGTGAAATGTATTTTTTTTAATGTTCAGGAGAAAAGTGTTATGTGTATGACTCATTGTCACTTAAGTATGTTACATTGAAAGGTTGATAACATCCCTGCAAGGCCCCTTACTTACTTCTGTGTCATGTAGAAACTCATCCCATTGTGCTATGCTTTCGATAGATATTACAATGGTGGGGCTTATCATATTGAGCTCTCATCACCTCATGGGTTTAGTTTTTTTTTTCAAATCCTCACTCAAGGGCATGTTTTCATTGATTTTAGAGAGAGAAGAAGGGGGAGAGAGAGAGAGAGAGAAACATTGGTCAGTTGCTTCCCATATGTGCCCCAACCAGGGATCGAACCTGATACCTAGGTATGTGCCCTGACTGGAAATCAAACCCTCAACCTTTTGGTGTATGGACAATGCTCCAACCAACTGACCCACCTGGCCAGGGCTCATGGGTATAGTTTTTACTTACCCTCACCTTACTGTGCAACTCTGACTCCTTTGCTGCAGTTCAGTGCTTACGTGCACGTGCAT